CATTATGTATATATATAGAATTTATTTAAATTGTGAATGTAGAATTTTCTTTATCAGCATATTTGTTTCTCCGAGATGTCAATAATAAAAAAAAAAATTTAAAACTTAGGGCTTGTTTGGCATCAGTTTTGGTTTTCAGTTTTCTGTTTTTTTTAAAACCAAAAACAAAAAATAGAAAATAAGAAAAAGGTGTTTCCACTTTTTTGTTGTCAGTTTTTAAAATTATCATAATTTTAATAAGTTTATATAATTTCTGATTCATTATGAGACTCATATCATATACTTTTAGAAAACAAAAAACCAAAAAACAGAAAACCACAGCAATGCCAAACAAACCCTTACTTTCCTTATTTTCATTGAAATTTATTCCAATTGTATGTCACTTTTTTAATCTTTGCATTTGGAATTAATTTGTGAGGAAAAAATGATCTAATTGTAAAGATTAAAGTGATAGAAGTACATATTTTGATCTTAATCTTAACTAGTTAGACCGACACATTTACTGGTGTGAATATTTTGAGTAATTATATAATTATCAAAGATATAATTAAAAATTATAAAAATTTGATATCGAAAAACTATATATCAAGACTATTCTAACTCGTAACCCATGTGGCTATGTTTGTTCAAATATATAAAACGCAGATATTTGGTTAAAGTGTTGTATGCAAACTAGTTTTTGGACCCGTTCTATGCACGGGTGCGGTTAATAACTTAATATACTCCGTATTAGTTTTATTTAAAACCCTACAAATCACTTGAATGAATTCAGATCATCATCTTTTGACATTAATTACATTTTATGAATAAGTAGTAATAATTGTTGAAAAATGGCTTTAAATTGTAAAATTAAATCTCTATTTATGTGATCGTTAATCAACAATTTGTATTAAAAAAAAAAAAAACTAAATACCAAACACTTATTATAATTTTACATTTTTACATCAAATATGAAGTTATGAAAATCTTCTTTATCAATATATTTCTCTTATAGTGCGCTTTATATCTTGAAAATAAAACCATATGACATGCAACCAATATCATCGTACGAAATTTCCATAGTATTCTTATACGAAACTCTTCATTTTTTCAAGTCTTCCTTTTTTGTCGCCTCAATATTTTCATTTTCAATCATCGTCTTCATTGTTGTATTTGTATTTGTATTAGATGAGAGGGAAGATAAGGGTCAATGAATTGAATGATGAATGTATATGTGAATAAATTGAAATGAAAGATGGAAAGAGAGGAGGAAAAGGTTTAAGAAATTTAATCAGTTGATTAAAATAAGGAAAATTTGACATTTGCTACCACCTAAAACACCTAGCTTCAAATTTGCTACCGTTTTAATTTTTTTTTTTTTTTTTTTACTTTGCTACCACCCTAAACAGAGTTTGTTAGAAATTACTACCCCATTTCTTATACCGTTACAATTTCCGTCAGTGGGGTCATACCACTGTCTAGCCACCCCACTACCATCCCCACCCCTCAACTGCCACCCCCTTCCCTCCTGTCGGCGGCCGGCGCCCAAAACTACGGCTGGCGTCGGCGACCCCTCCCCCTCCCTTTCCCCCACCCACGAAGCTAACCCCCCTCCCTTTCCCCCACCACGAAGCTAACCCCCCTCCCTTTCCGTCAGTGGGGTCATACCACCGTCTAGCCACCCCACTACCACCCCCACCCCTCAACTGCCACCCCTCCCCCTCCCTCCTGTCGGCGGCCGGCGCCCAAAACTACGGCTGGCGTCGGCGACCCCTCCCTTTCCCCCACCCACGAAGCTAACCCCCCTCCCTTTCTCCCACCACGAAGCCAACCCCCACCTCCCTTTCCCCCACCCACCGAAGACAACCCCCACCGAATTCAACCCCCCTCACTGTTCCATCCACCAAATCAGCCACCAATTCGCAGCCACCAACTCAGCCACCAATTTCGCAAACCCTCAATTCGCACCCACCAATTCGCACCCACCCGCAACACCAACTCCGCCACCAATTTTGCAGCCTCCTCAATTCGCAGCCACCAACTCAGCCACCAATTTCGCAAACCCTCAATTCGCACCCACCCGCAACACCAACTCCGCCACCAATTTTGCAGCCTCCTCAATTCGCAGCCACCTCAATTCGCAACACCCCCAATCAGCCACAAGCGAAACCCTAACACCCGTTTGGGTGGTTTCGGGCTAGTGGTTTCGGGTTAGGGGTGTTGGTTTTTGGGTGTAGGAAGGGTAGGGGTTCGATTCCGGTGGGGTAACGGGGAAGGGGGCTGATTTCGGTGGGGGTTGGCTTCGTGGGTTGTGGGGTTGGATTCATGGGTGAGGAAAAGGGGCTTCGTGGGTGGGGAAAGGGAGGGGGGTGAGGTCGCCGACCGAATCTTTTGGCGCCGGCCGCCGGCAGGGGGGGAGGGGTGGCAGTGGGGTGGCTGTTTTTTTCTATTTATTTTTATTTTTTTAAATAAACTTAACGGAAATCCTAACGGATTTCGTTAAGTGATAGTGATTTATAACAAACTCGAATTCAGGTGGTAGCAACGTAAATTTTTTTTTAAGAAAACGATAGCAAATCTGAAGCGAGACGTTTTAGGTGGTAGCAAATGTCAAATGAAGATTACAAAATAAGTAGAAAGAGTTATTGAGAAATAAATGAGGAGATGAAGAGAATTTCATTGAAAACACGTACAAGACAATGGGTTAAAGAAAATTAATGATTGTAAAGAAAGGTGAAAGAGAAGGATGACATGTGCCAACTTCGATTTATGTTTTTAAATACTACTAAAGTATAAAAGTATTTTCGTATATAGATTTTTTTGAAGCATTTTTCCTATGTAGATAATATGGTTTCAAAATCAAATTGATGCACTAAATACTCCGTACCATTCATTTATCTTGAAATGAATGGTGTAATGAATACTCCATTCGTTTCATAATAATTGCAACACTTTAACTTTTGCACTATATATATGCTTATTTTGATTACTATATATATATATATATATATATATATATATATATATATATATTATGAATACATAATAAATATATATTGCCATGTAAATATTTCTAGATTAGTGTTTATGTACTTATTATATTAAAATACTTCTTATAAATATATAATTATAAATAGGCAAAAGCTAATTGGCGCCCCGGGGGCGCTAGATAAGAGCAATATTTGATGCATTGTCTTTCTCCCATTTATTACTATTGTATTAAATATTTCTTATTGTCCCAAAAAAAAAATTACTCTGAGTACTATGTGAAATGCGAATGCAAACAAAAATTAATTACTGCCATAACTCTCCTTAATTCATGGAAGATAAAAAAGACAATTATTTTACATGTGTATCACTTTTCTTCCAATCGTCAAAAACAGAAACATGAAAAATTGATATTTCATGGGTATCATATGAACCTCCATCAAATACAAATCGTCAAAAACAAAAACAGAAAATAAAAAATGTTTGATTTGAATGAACCTCCATCATATGAAGAAGAAAATCATGATCAATCGAACTTATGGCTTGAGCCATTTGTGGGTCAAACTTTTCTTAGTAAAGAAGAAGCATGGGTATTCTACCAAAATTATGCACGCCTCCATGGTTTTAGCATTCGAAAAGATTGAACCAAAAAACAAGATGGTAAAATCATCAGGCGTGACTTATAACCATATTTTTTTTGGAGTAAGTGTCAGATAATGTAAACTCCTTGATCAGAGTGATTTTCATTGATCAATATTTATAGGGTTACAATGAGAATTCACTCATGGAGTAGGTTGGCAAAAATTGGTACTGCCAGTAGTGGGAGGCGGTAGTGTATGCGATTGCCACCAATGATGGAGGCGGCTTTTGCGGTTGCTACTATCGGTGGGAGGCGCAAGACTATATAAAGATTCTAAAAAAAAAACTTTGAGAAAAGAAAAAAAAAATTATATGTGTGTGTGTGTTTGCGGAAGCATAAAAAATCTGTGTATATCATGTTAATTATTGTATATCAAGGTGAGAATTTTTGTATATGATCCCAAGATCTCACCTAAGCTGTGATACCATGTTAAAGGACCAACTCAACCAAAAGCTTAAGCTGATGGTTGAGGCCCAGGAATATGTTTTATACTCTATCACTCCCCCTCACATGAAAGCTGATGGTTGAATGTGGATGCAACACAGGCCCACTCATACCTGGTGCGAATTAATTCCACTTTGAAGGAGGGGCGGATGAGATTCGAACCCGTGACCTTTGTGTCACGCTGGCTCCGATACCATGTTAGATAATGTAAACTCCTTGATTTCCATTGATCAATATTTATAGGGTTACAATGAGAAACCTAATCATATTAGGTAACATAAGATATGTATAGATATCAAAGATAATCTAATACAAAATATATCCTAAACCTAAGATGAGAATATTCTATGGATATTCTTTATCAGTAAGAATCAATATAATGGAAAAAATAACTACATTTTACAGTAGATATGAAGCGTTTCTTCACAACAACAAAAAAATGATATGAAAGAAAAAAAAAAGTAAACTCTTAACTACAGTACGGAGTATAATACTACTCTTGTATCGTTGTATTACTCATGGGAAATATATGAGAGCATGGAGAATTGAATATCTTAAATGAAAAATAGCATTAAATGTTAATCTATTGAAAATTGATTCTGCTACATTATTTTATGGACATATAATCACATTAAATGAGTAATAATTAATAAATTGATAAGTTATATATAAATATTTATACATTAACTAACGTTTCGGGGCGTCCGTTAACGGGATCGTTATAAATATTACTATGTAATAGTCAAAATTATGCATTGACAATTGACATCATAACATGTATTTCAATCAAAGTATTGCTTGTTGATATATTGTTCAATGAATCATTATTAAGAATCTTAACACAATGATAACCACTTATTTAAGACATTAAATTCAAAATAATTCTCCCAAGTAAATTATGCATTTCCCGCTTTAACCATTTATTTATTTTATTTCCCCAATAATAATTTATTTTTTAAAATTTATTTTTTAAAAACGTTTGACGCCTCTTTACCTTCACTCACATACTCACACTCAAAGCTTCCCTCGCAAGCTTAACTCTTCTTCTTCCTCTCCCTCATTCTCTCTCCTCTTTCATCTTCACAACATTTTCTCTCTCCTCCATTTTCAGAACAATTCATCTTCGCAATCATGAGACGCAGCACAAGGAGATCAACAATGGCGGTTTCTATTCACAGTTCTCTCGATTTTGACTCTAACAGAATAAGTACCAGAAGATCTTCCTCCATTCTTCCTCAATCCGACGAAACCCGTAATCCGGTACATCAATTCTTCCTTTTTTTATAATTCTGAATATGTTATTAATTTACTCTTGCATTGCAATTCAGTAATGTAATTTGTTTTGTTGTTTCGGGTGTATCCTGTTTAGAAATTGGTTTATGTACTTTGAATTCGGATAAAGGGTAATGATGTAGACGGGATTTGAACACGGGCCCAAAGCGGCCTATGAACTTTCACCTGAGTAGTAGTTTGTCTTGAATGTTACTTAATTTTTTTTTTAAAAAAATAATTTGCTGAAATGTAGAGCTCATGTAACAATGTGATGTCAGAATGAGTAAAATCCAAAAGATTTTTTCTTTTTGGTTAAAAAACAAAGTTATTAGGTACTAAGAAAGGTTATTGAAAGGGGAAGGTGTTTAAAAAAATGTGATTTGTTGCCTTTTCCTTAAATTTAAATGGAATATGAGTATGTGAATGATGTTTCGAATTAAAATTACACCCGGGTGTATGATGAAAATCGCGTAATGTGTGAAGGGTGAGTCTGTTCTCTGTTCAATGGTTTGAAGATCAAAGGATGTATGACAAAGAAAAAAAATAAAAAGGTTTTATTCTTAAGGATTTGTGGGTTTTGTTAAGAAAAAGGAAGAACTCCTAGAAGCTTGGAACAAATAATTTGAGTGTACGGCTTTGTTAAACTAGTCTTAGTTATATTATAGGAGGAAATGTGTAGTTTTAAGTATTGAGATAGATTGAGAACTAGAGATTTTTGATGTGTTGAATTTTTTTTTTTTTTTTTTGTATGTTTTTAACAAGATGAAGCCCCTTCTTATTATTGTTGGCAGGCTGGGAACTTTACCACCAAATTTTCGATGTCCTCATTTGTAAAGAAAGTGGAACAGTTAACACATGATCAGAGAACTGCTATTGAAAAAGTTGGGTTTGGGAATTTGCTACGCGTTCCTCATCATACCCTCCGAAAAAATCTGTTAGTTGAATGGATGGAGCGTTGGGACAGTGAGAAAAGGGCATTTGTACTTCATGATAAGGAGCTTACCATTACTGATATGGATGCTGCATTGATCTTGGGGTTGCGTACTGTTGGTAATCCTGTAAGTTTGAGTGAAGAAGATCCATTATCTGAAATGGAAAGGGAGTATGGAGCTACCATAATTAATCGAAAAATCAGTATGTCTGCAATTGAGGGAAGGTTACAATCCCTTGGTGATGATGCCAGTGAAGATTTTGTAAGGAATTTCTTGCTATTTATGTTTGGGATGATTCTTTTCCCAAGTTCAAATGCTAAACTAGACTCGCGCTATCTGTCCTTTCTTAAAGACCTTGAGGGAGTGTCCAAGTATGCTTGGGGTAGGGCTGTTGTTGAGGACCTATTCAACTGGTTATCTAGAAGGAAAGAGGAACAAATAAAAAGTATTGAAGGTTGCCTTATTCTTCTCCAAGTAAGTTTTTGTCATCTTTATGCTGGATAGCCGGCTTGAATTCATATGCTTTTAGTGATGTTACCGTTAACCTTTAATAATACACATTATCATATGCTTTACAAACTACTGGAATTGTCCATGTTTCAAGTATCTGACTTGCAGTTGCATTTTACATGTCAAACACATAGACTTTCTGGTTCTAATGAGGATTTGATCTTCAACTTTCTCATGTAAGCAGATTTGGTCCTACGAACATATAGACATTGGGCGTCCAATTCTGATTAGTTGCTCGGTGGACTTCCCTCGAGCTTGCCGTTGGGAAAGTAGTAGGTGTAACAGCCCAAGGCATTGGTTCACTTCCAAGTTCAATGAGGTTGAAGAGAATCAGGTGAGGAAATTCTATTGGCTTTATGCCATTGCTAGTTGTTATATATCTACTATTTAGAAGTTTCAATCTTCCATGAACTAGTATTTTACTTCCAACGGCACATTGGTGTTAAGACTGTTAACATTGTACCTTCAGGTAATATTGAAGCTGCAACCAACAGCAACTGAGATGAATAATGATTACATACGAGAGCTACTTACTGAAGAAGCTGCGGGAGGAGAAAAGATTCTCTCAACTAGGACAAACATCACAACATCTAAGACAAAAGAAGTCCCATCAAAGGTTAGACATGATGAAACTAGCCTGCAACTTAGAGTGGAATTTGATTGGCATGCAAAGACACATTTTTCAGGGATATCATCTGCTTATGTGTATGAATAAAGAAAACATACTACTATGTATAATGTTACTGATCAATACTGGCAGGGTGGGATTAAACTTATTTCAATTTATGATACATTTTGGGCTGAAATTTGATTCTTTTGTCAATTTACCTGCAGTGTTTAAGCCAGAAGACTTTGTTAAATGAGAAACCAGAGGGAGGGGTTGCAAGAGGCAAGCATGATCAACGAGCTGATTTTCCAGAGTGTTCTGGAATATCAGAAATAACATCAGAAGAATGCGAGAGAGAAGAGGTTCTGTCAACTAGAACAAGAGCCACAACATCTGCGCCTATTGGGCTCCCACCTAAGCATGATCAGCGAGCTGATATTCCAGAGAATTCTGGAATATCAGGAATATCATCAGAAGGATTTGAGAGAGAAGAGGTTATGTCAACTAGAACAAGAGCCACAACATCTTCGGCAGTTGGTCTCCCACCTAAGGTTGTTAAGCATGCACAAATATCCATGTGCATGATTATGAGAATTGTAGAGAAAATCTGAATTTTAGCAGCTGGTGGACAATTGTGATGTTAGGTTTTTAGCTCTACTGAAATGACTTTTGTTGCTAAATTGTAATCTTTTATTTGTTTGCTAAACAGAGTTTAAGCCGACATGCTATATTGGATAAGAAGCCTGACGAAGGTACAGAAAGAAGCAAGCATGATAATCAAGACTTACCACAGGATTCTAGGCAGTCAATGGATGTGTCAGTGATGACTGAAGATTATGCGGAATGTTCCTCATCGTATGGTTTGCAAGAGGACCAGAGTGCAGAGACATCCCTTAATGTTAATGTCATTACTGTTAAGTTGTCGATTTATATATTGGTACTATGATCTTATTTGTCATCTTTTGAAGGAGTAGGTTATAGATTGGAAATATGATTTTAACAAAGTAAATTTAAAGCAAATTAATGTGGTACTTTTCAAACTTCTGACTGATAATTTCAATAATATACAGGAAGAGTATGTTTTGGAGAATGAGAAACTCAAGAGAGAAAATGCTGTTATGAGGAAGATATTAGAAGACCTAAGAAAGGAAAATGCTGAGCTAAAAGAAGATAACCAACGCTTGAGGGCTCCTCCTGCACTTGCTGATAATATAGAAAGGCTTATTGATGAATACTTTGATGGAGTTTAGGCTGCTTCGGAAGTTGTTTGTTTTCGGTAAGATCATGAAGTCATGCACTAATAATATCCTTGTGTGTCTAATGTTGAGTCCCAGGCTTGCTTCTTCTTTTTTTTTTTTTAAATGCCATCGCCAGCTATTCTTCCTCAGTTAGTTAATAGTAGTTCATTATGCTGTGAATCAGATAGATTAGGCACTGAATCAAATTAAAGCACACAATTAAGGCAACTGATAGTAGTATTGATCAAATCAGGATAATCCAATCAACACAATTCCCTACTCCAAGAGGTAGGAAGTCTCCCAAAGAATCCTCAAGTCTCTCCCAAAGTATTTCCTCACTATCTTTCTGAATACCTTATTACAGACTAAACCACTTCTAATAGTGCATTAGTGCTACTACCGATTCTTCTAGCAAAAAGCATAACTAATTATGCAATCTCCTCCCCTCACACACAACAAACTCCTGAAATCTTCTCCATTTATCATAAGCAACTTCCTTATTTTCCTTCTCCTTGCATATGTGAATACAACAAGAGGGTTTAGGTTATTCTCAGCATATTATAATACGATTATGAATAAACAAATATTTATGGGCACAAGATAAGATGTGCATTGATATATGAACTGCTATGGAGTTAAATGGTAAAGTTATAGTGTAGTCAGTTTTTTGTCATCTGCTTAGCAATGTGAACCATTTCCCCTCATTGTCTTATTAATGTGTTTTGGCAGATGAATTCAATTCCTATGCCATAGAAGCAGCATCAGCTGATTGTTTATCATTGGATAAACGTGCATACATTCAACATCTGATTTCTGCTCTCTGGTATAAGTAATTATGTGTACTGGTATGATTGCATTATATACTGACTATAGTCCCATGCTGTAAGTACTAGTTTATAGAGTGTGATCCAATTTTCGAGTTAAACAATTAGAGACTGTTGTAGTCCTTATAGGAATATTCCTTTATCTTCACATCTATAGGAAAATAAACTCGATGTATGAAAGTCTAGAAAAACTCTGTTACACAGCCTTGTCTGTATAAGCTGCAGTTGCAGTAGCATTGCTAGTGTATATAATTTGAAGAAAATTTTCTAATATTCATGTGTGTATTTATATTTGTGTCACCATTTGGAGTCTTTATGGACAATAATTGGGGCCAATTTTGAGATTGTATTTACACTCTTTGCCTCTTTGTTAGTTGAAGAGGACTATGATATGCTTATTTGGTCTTGATAACATGATGCGTAGTTTAGAGTTGAAGAAATCCGTTTTTTAAGGCTAAAATCTCATTACATTATTTGTAAAGTGGAACAATTACATCAGCCAGGGATTTAGAAGGTTTATTTGTGTGAAGTTGTCAATTTATCATTTTGATTCCATCAAACTGCAATTTATTGTTAGAATAAGTTTTCTAGGACATCAAACTCCAGTACAGAGAAATATAAACTTCACTACAATGAAACAAGGAGACTCTTAGGTAGAGTCTCATCCACGAACTTTATTAGTGAAACTTTTTCCATCTTCCCTGTAGCTCTAACCCGTTCTGCATTAACATAAGAGAACAAAATAAATTAGATGTCTTGTACAGCTAATCAAGCAAAGAATTTTAAGAAATCTTCGAGTTTAAGAGACATGAAACATACACTTTGGTGCAGTCAGTGTTGGGGCTGAAGGTGTAAGACATGGTAACCCCACACTGTGCAGGAAGCTTAGCTGCAAGGTCATTGTTGAGTCCTTTGATGCTAGCTGCAGTTGATTTCATACACTCACAGAGGGCCCTATGCTCACCTGTTTGTTCGGCTGTGGCCTTGAGTGACCTTACCCCAGCGCAGCAGCTTTCTGATGGAGTTGCCTGGGTAGGACCACTGCCCTTCAGGTATGGCATGCAGGGTGACAGAGTGTCACTAACTCCACTGCATGATAAAGCTGCCTCTATTGCACGGGAGGTGGCTCCCAATACCATACAGATGGCCACAATGACGCGGGCTAGTTTGAGAAGTGAGATAGCTGCCATTTTTTCTGGTTAGTGTACAAAATTTTGCTGTTGGAACTGGTTTAAAAAATTGCTGCTAGAAATGTATGTGTATATATACATCAGCATGATAATATAAAATTGGCTTAGTTTGATGTGGTTGGGGACTTGAGGGTTGATCAAATTTAATGCTGAGAAGTATGTTTTGTGTGTGTATATCCATATTGGTGTCCTTGTCTGTCGAATAAAACTTTCTGGATGAACTTGAATATAGGAAACTTGTAGTCAACATCTTGAAGTCGGCATTCTTAGCTGATTTCTACGGAAAAATACTGAGAAGATACATCAAAAAAATTTGAAATGCAAGCTTGGTGTCAAAATCCCCTAGCTTTAATGGAAATATTACAAAATTTCTAATATTGATGTTGTCACCATGTCTATTTGTTTGCCAATTTTGGATGTAACCTCTTATTTCAATTAAGTAGAAATTTGTAAAAGTAAAAATTGTAGATTTATGATTCCAAGTGTTGAAACTTGAAACATTGACAGAGCTATAAAGATAAATACAAGCATATACTCCCTGTGTTTTTTCTAGTTTACTCACTTCATACTTTTTCGTTATTAGCATTGTAATACGTGTGATTTTATAAAATTCGTCTTGATTTTTACTTTCATTACATTTTTTGTTCTAATAGTTTTATGTTAAGTGTAAAAATGAGAATTATGTAAACTAAAAACCAAAAGGAAAAAAAAAAAAAAATCTTGAAAAGGAAAAGAGGAGTATCTTGTAATTAAGATTGTAAACCCTGATGAGTAAAGGAAATTCAACATTCGTAGTACATATCAAAGCTTTATATTTTGTCTGAGGGTCTTGGCCATTTTTTGGGGGTCAATGAGTCGATAAAGAGTTAGAAGATTATAGCCATTCTTAACGAGTATACCAAAGCACAGGTAATTGCAGGCAGTTGTGATGCATGATAAAAAAAACCTTTATGGTGCAGAGGAAGTTCGTTCTTGAATAAAGATTTGGGTCTAGTGGTCTATTCTTGGTAAATCAGAGAGTACTATATCAAGTAGTGTATTGATAATTATTTAAGGAAATGATCATATAATTCAGCCATTATTAGTCATTAATGAGTATACAAGTAGTGTATTGATAAAATGATAATTATTTAAGGAATACGATCATATAATTAAGCCATTATTATATAGAGAGATGGAAATGAGATGGCGCATGGTTTTGTGTTACTCCGTAATGTTTTGCAAGGAAGGCCGAAGCTCTAATTTGAGTAAATAATTTACCTGCCATGATGGTATATCTCGGATGTAGGTAACACTCGTACACCTCATAGAAATAGTTTTAAATCACATTGTTGGAGTGAACTAGTGAAGAGGTTCATGCAGATGTTAATTGTATGGTTGCACCTTGCACCGTTTCAACTGGTGCATCATAATATGTATCGGAGGCTGCAGATCTGCAGTGTATCTGAGACTGGAGGAAAGTTTCTGTGAGGGCTTAAGGGGTATATGCTGTGAACTTTGAAGGGTAACTGTCATAATAACAATGTGATCATGGTTCTCTGATGTCTTTATTTTGACATTATTGTTCTTAGGCATACTAGTCTGCAGCCAAGTTTTGCAGCCTCTACAGCAGTGCATCAATATAATCTCCGAATTTGATGTGCAACAGAAGTTAAAATTGCGATACAGTCTTTGTCCATCCCACAAGCTTATTGAACCCCATCTTAGGAGCTAAGTCAAGTCCCCTTAATTGTACTATTAACAGGTATTAGATTGAATTTCCCATATTAAACTTAAAATTGAATTATTATCTTTAAAATATAAAATGCTTCATATATCATATAGTGATACATATAAGCAAAACTTGATAAAAATAACGTCTCATGTAGATAAGATCAGAAGGATTTCACAACATTACAGCTTATTGAAAATACATATAAGCAAGACATGCATCATTCATACATGAATGCATATCTAGAGCTACAAAACTAGAGTAACACTATGATGAGACATCGATCGAAGATCTCGAAAAGATGTAACTACATATGATCTGAAGACTGCTTTATTTTTCATTTCCCTGCTTAATTCATTCCTGGTTATTCTTCCACAAGGCTTCACTGTATGCTGCAAAACACGAAAACAAATGCATATTCATTAAATTACTCACTTTCTTCAGTTCTAAAATCATAAAGACGTACTGAATTATGATTATTGATTACTCCATTCGTTAGGAAATATTAATATGCCTTTGATCCGGGGTCAATTTTAAGAAATTGATTGATAACTTAATTGAATATCAATCTATAGTAGAGTATGTTTAAAATCTCGTTGTATATACTACCTCCGTTACATATTATTTGCAACGATTAGATATTTTTTCTCTCTACTTTATGTCAAATCGTTGCAAATAATATGTAACAGAGGTAGTTAAAAAATGTCCATCCTATGACACAACTACACAAGTAATATCTACTTCGTATTACCTAGTAGAGTGTTTATTTATTTTGTTGATGATCTTATATAGTGATATGTGCAAGTTAATTAATATTTGAAATTCGTGTCAAAAAAAATTTCATATTTGAAATTGAACTAGTATTTTGAAATCGTTATGATTTTAAACATAGCTTATTTTACTTGTTAAATTTATTTATAGATAAAAACAAGTTGGGAGTAAAATTAAATTGCAAAAAAAATAAAAATAAAATTGTAATACGAAGTATATTACCTGTTGCAGTTGATTTTAGGGTTAAAGGAGTAGCTGACGGGAACCCTACACAGAGAAGCAAGTCTAGAAGCAAGGTTATAGTTTAGACCTTTAGTCTTAGATGCTGTAGATTTCATACAATTACAAGCCATCCTACGGTCAGCCGTGGTTTGAGCCGCGGCCTTAAGACCTGCAATTCCGGCACAACACTTAGGTGACGGTACACCCCCAGCCGTGCCCCTCAAGAACGTCATGCATTGTCCTAGGTACTTGGTCACAGCACCACATGTTGTCAAGGCCGCCTCGACTCTATTCGGCATGACAAGGGCTTGCACCACCATGCTAACCATCACGAAACATACCAACTTCTTTAGCATTACACTAGCCATTTTCACAACTCTTTTTTTTTTTTTTTTTTTTTTTTTTTTTTTTTTTTTTTTTCTTGTTGATTGATTTGTATTTTTTTTTTTTTCTATGAAGTTGTGTAGTATGAGTGTAACTACGTGCATGGTTTTATAGAGTTGATCTAGGTAGTTGGACGTTGTTAAACTATAATTTAATGCTAAGGGATTATTTTTGCTAAATTTTGGGCATTTACGTGTCAATTTTTGCAGATTTTGTTGTAATTAACGTTGTATACATAACTAATTCTGAATCTATTGCTAACGTATTATGAATGGAAGTTTTGTTTGGATGTTGATAAATTCGGGAGTTGTGAGTTTGTGACCACTGATCTTAGGAGACGTATAGGTCATGTATGGACCGCCATGTTAATATCTACGTCCGAGTAGTCAATAAGAGCGTATGCCAAAGTATTGATTCATATCCTTTTATTTTTTTGGTTTTTTTTTTTTACTTAATCCGATTACCTTTTAAGTGTTTCACTATAGAAATACATAGTTTTAGGCAACTTAATCGATTTGAATATGAAATTTTAAAACTTTATAAGAAAAATAGTGGAGTTAATATGTTATTGAAAATTCAGGGATGTGAGAGGGAAAGAAATAAAAGTAGTTTTGAGTATGAGTGAACATCATGTGAAGTGAGAGAATTAATTAATATTTAAATGAAATTGTTTTCTAATAGAAAGTGTGACATTATCCGTTCAAAAAAAAAGAAAGAAAGTGTGACATTAAAAAAAGGCCGCAAAAGAAAAGTATACACAAATTCATGATTAAGGCCGAAAAAGAGTATTTTATTCTAAGACGGATAAAAGTTACCCTAAAAGTACATGTTTTTAAGTTATCTTTAATTTGTATACTTCGTATTACATATTAGAATACAATCTAATTCATTATAAATTAAAAGTTACTCTTTTAGAACTAAAGTTACCGTAAAAATTGTTAAAATAACCTTTAAATGGACCGACTTGCAATAAAATTAAAGTAAGTCCGCGTAATATTAGGCCCCGTTTTCTTCACCTTATTTTTGCTGAAATGAAATTATTTTTACTGAAACAAAATTATATTTGCTGAATTTAAATTATCTTTACTGAACTTAAATTAATTTTACTAAACTGAAATTATTTTTACTGAACTAAAATCATTTTTACTTAATATTATTTTTTGTAAGGTGAAGAGAACAGGGTTTTATCGGAAACACTATAAAAAAAATGAAAGGAGTATGAATCAAACTACGTACATTGGTAGTTTTTTTGGCACCGTGGCGCTCTCTCTTCAGTCCTCCATTGAAGCGTACTGCCGTACAGCCACTGAAGCGCCTTCTGAGCTTTCTCTATCCCATTGAACCAGATTCTGAGGTATGTTGTTTTTTTACAATCTAGGGTTTAGTTTCATACCATTATTTCTAATCTAATTATTAGTATAGTCAATTCAGGGTTTGGGTTTTTAAAAAAAATATTAGGGCTCATATTAGGAGGATTCTTGAACTATCGTTCATTATACTAAAGCTATATGAAATATTAATATATAACGTGCAAATTTGTCGCTGCAATTTTGATGTGTGCAATAATTAAGTTGATATTTTTAAGCTAGAACAATTTAATGTGATTTTTTTATATTAATTTGATAATTATTGGTTCAAATTTGGTTGTTTATGAGTTGCATTTTTCGACCCTAATTGAGCCTACTGCCTACCAGCTTAGGGCGAGGAAGATTTTTAAGGCTTTTTATTCGAGGCTCATTTAGCTTCAAGCTCGAGTCGAGCTTGCCTAAACCCTAAGCCTTGATCTCTTAATTGTTTGCGTTTTTTTTTTCTTCTTTTGCTTTGTTGAACGTGATTATGTGATAGTGCATTTAATATTACATAGATAACTAAGGGTCTGTTCTGATACGATTATTTTCAGTTTAGTTCAACTCTAATAATTTCAGTTGAATTCAGCTCCTATTCTAAGGATGTGAGGCATATGTGCAGGTCATATTGGTGCGTAGAGCTTAGAAAAATCGACCAACATGTCGATGTCTAAGGCTAAGGGTTCGAAGATGCGCCAGAATATTAATCATCGCATGCGGGTCACTACGCAAGATGGGCGTCAACTCGTCGGGAAACTCATGGCCTTTGATCGTCACATGAATGTTGTCCTCGGCGATTGTGAGGAGTTTTGGAAGCTGCCTCCGACAAAAGCTAGCAAACCCAATCCTAGCAAAGAGAGAGAAGAACGTCGTACCCTTGGCCTTGTCATCCTTAGAGGTGAAGAGTTGATTTCCATGACTGTTGAAGGTCCTCTCCCTCCTCAAGAGTTAAGTGCCTAGCTAGTGCATGATATATTGATATGTATCTCCTTGAAATCCACTTCTTAGGTTGAGTAACAAAGAGTTAAACCAATATATGTTAGATGTGGCCCAAAATTTCATATGGACCAAGTTTTGAAGAAGCCTAACACAATTCTTCTTGCTTCTATAATATGTCAAATATTCTACAATTATGTTGATTATTCTAGAAAATTGTCAACTTTCTAGAAGTAATATTATCATGCAAGCAAATCTAGAGAATTCTTCATACATTTTGGGGCATCCATTTCCACCGACTTAACCAACTATAAATAGTTAGAGTTTGGCTCATATTGAGACATCCAACCAATATACATTCAACCTCCATTACACAAATTTACCCACTCACAAAATTACTCATCCATTTACACTAGTCTCCCTAGTTAATCTCCTCGTTGTAATTTATTCCACTATTTTCTTTTCTTTTATTTTGAGAGTTTAATTGTAAGAGTTGTATCTCAATACCCTATTATTGGGGTAACTTTGTACTCTCATTTTATTATAGTGGAATTTTCTGGTGCTCGTCATCGTGGGTTTTTTTTACCTCTATTTAGAGATTTTTTCCCACGTTAAAAATCGTGTCTCCTTTTATTGTTTATCTTACATTTTACCTTTAATTTCTCGTTCTATTTTACATTTCCGCTGTGTGCTCATACCCTAACAATATACATTTTGATGCTTTATTTCGTTGTTTTGTTAATAAAACCCAAAACAAAACAACAATTACTATTAATTTTTTGCTCCACTTAGGCATGGGATGAGTTAGCAGGTTTGATCAACGATCGTTTTGATAAAAAAAAACTTTATCCGAAACAAGAATGTGTGAGTTAGTACTAATTTGGCTTGAAATCCACTTACGAATAATTTTTTGAGTAACAATACTCATCATATGGTTTTCTAGATTCTTCCGGAGATTATGAGATCCTAAATTTCCAATTAGAAATTAAACCAAACATAATAACCAGCATTTTAAAGATGTGATTCATTTATTGAAAGCAATTAAAAAGTTTTTCGATGAATTAGTAGTTGGTTTATTTTCTTTTTCTTACCTACTAAAGGAAAGGAAACTAGATGGAAAAAGGAAGGAGGAAGAAAAGGAAAGGAAAATAGATGGAAAAACATTTAATTATAATGTTAAAATAAAATCATACATGTAAAGAGAGGACACATGAATTATTAGGCAAAATAAAACAAGCAATTTTTTTTTTTGGTGTTTAGAGAGCCACAAGGGCGGGTGATGAGAATCGATCCTAAGATCACCTGGGACCGGGAGGGGAGCTCTAACCACTTGAGCTATCCCTCACTCTCATTTGTACATACCTAATGATTAGGTTATTATGTGGTATTTGTAGAAATTATGATTCAACAAACATATTAAATTTTCTAATTTAGTTTCATGAAAGGAAGTAAGTTAAAAAAAGAAAAAAGGGATTTTGAGAGAAATACTCTGGAATATCTAATCCTTTTCCAATAGCATACTCCCTCTGTTTCAAAATGAATACACAAGTTGACAGACACGTATGCCAATGCTAAAATTTAACTAAAAATATAATTGATTATCTATAAATAATAGAAGATTGGTATTCTAAAATAATACATTGAGACGATTCTAATTAACAAATACCCACATATTTTTTTTTTGTTTTTGTTTAGATCACTAACATTGGTTAATGTAAATAGTGCAAAAAAGTCTAAGTGTGACATTTACTTTCTCCGTTTTTTTTAGATGCATCACTTTTGAAATTGGAACTTGTAGGCAACTTTTAGAGTTGAGAGAGATGGAGATAAAAAAAAAATAAAGAGGGTCCATGTAATATGAGAGAGGTTAACTTATTGACAAAGGGAATGTGATGCATCCAAGTTGAAACTTTTATATAAAGAGATGCATCTTATAAAAAATAAAGGAAGTATTTATAGAGAGAATAACATTAGTTTGAAACAAATATAGGAATACAATACCCGTAAATATGATTTTCTATTTATTCTTTCTGGGTGAATTTCCCTCTATCAAAACCAATTAAGTGTATGGATAACAAATTTCACGCACCAAGTGTCGTACCACGTTGGATAAATATAGATAGACTTTGTAGTAAAAAAAAGTTAATTCAGAATTCTATTTTCAATTAAATTGAATCATAATATTCTTTTATCTTAAAAATCCATAAACAACCCGGGTACACGGGGCACAAAACTAGTGTTGAATACATATATTGCTTGGATTAAAAAAAAAAATACCTAAACGAGTAAAAAAAAAGCCATTTTTGATCGCATATAACTCTATATGCACCCGACTGTGTACAAAATGACTTGATAAATGATAATTAAGGGCATGTTCTCTTCAGCTTAATTTCAATTCAATTCAGTTGAATTCAACTCCTAATTTCCTTCTTTCATAAACAATATATTCCAGCTTTATTTAGTTCAATTTAGTTCCAATTTCAATTCAATTATTTTCAGTAAATCATAACAGACCCTAAATATTAGCCCTTCGAACTAGATTGGGGCCGGGGGTTTATTACCCACTAGCCTATAAGGAAGTGAGATCTCCCTAGGGTTGAGATTGCTAATTCAAGCGGAATTCACCTGTATAAGTTTTTGAAGCGCCAAAAGTTTGAAGAAACACTAAAAAAATATCGTCATCTGACGTCCCTTTTTTGCTACCTGAAAAAACTGTCACCCGAATTTTAGGTCGTGAGAAGTCAGTTTCCATCATCAAATTGCAGGAGCAAGCAACATTCGGCTATTTTTCAAGTAATTTTTCTTTATTAATTCGATTTTTTTGGTGTTTGTTTTGTTGATCATGTTTAGGTTTTGCGAAGGATTGATGCAAAATGAATTTCTTATACTAGAAATTACTTTCACCTGAATTCTAAATTCTTTGAATTTGTTGATTTTATGTAAAAAAAATTGGGAAATTCTGATGAAAATATGTTCAAATGCCACAGAAAATGCAATGAAATTAGTTTGTATGGCTCTAATTTGCTTCTTTCCTGCAAACTTTTTTAGTTGTTTTAGAATTTACTGGATAATTTATGCTTTCAATCTGAAATTGTGTTTGTTATTTTGAATTATTAAGCAAAATTGATACGATTTTGTGGTAGAATTGTACGTTATATTGCTTTTGAATCAATTACTGAGACATTGCATTGTATGTTCGGATTCATGTTTTTATTGGTAATGGCAAAATTCTCTATGGAGTTTATGTGAGCGCTAGAGTGGTTAGCATCATCTTGCAGCTTTCAAGTACTTAATCGTTGCAAATAATATGAAACGGAGGTAGTATGTTATATGTATACATGTGTGATGTGTCTACTTTGTCCACCGGAGCGTTGATACCATGAAATTTGGGATACTAGAGCTGTATATCATGATTTTGTGTTATGTGTTCAATTTTTTTATTTTTTTATTTATTGTTTATTGATATATGATTATTTTTATTAAGTCCTGCGACTCTTGTTGTTACCAGATGCCTGTAATTAACTTTTGCTTTGGATGAGCACGGTGCCAACTGAATACTTAGCACTGCCTGGGTTAAAAGAGATGATGATATTGTTGATTCTTTCCAGGTATGAACTAGTTTTGGATACTGCAATTTTACAACTTGTGCCGTTCATTTGGTTATTTTATTATTGAGCGTATTTGATATGAGTATGTTATTCTCTTGCAAGCTTTGACAATTGAGATATGTTGATGCTAAAGAATCCGAGTATAGGTTTTTCCTAGATCTTCCATCTAAAACTGAGTGCATGCTGGTGTTATGTTCTAGTGTTTGCCAAATTGTTCGTTGCTTATATTGTACATAGTGTCTATTGAGTTTCAAGGACAAAACTCACCTGTATGAGGTCCTTTTTAGAACTTTCACTCTGTATAACGGAGTGGATTGGCTACCTCTGTGGCACCCCTCTGAATGTGCCAGGATTCACCAAATAGTTGGTTGCTTATCTAGCTATTCTAGTCACAGAGTTCATGAGGCATGAAGAGTTAGTTGAAGGGTAAAATCATCGGTTACTTGCTGTAACTTATCAATGTTTTATAATGTGAGGTCTCTAATGGAACCATCACCCTATGACATAGAGTGGATAGACAAATTCTGTGGCAAACGAGCAAACCTGATGATCTGTCATCTCCATTCATGCGATTTCCATTTCAAATGTGCTAAAGCATCAATATAGGAGCCTCTGCATGCATGTGCCATTTAGATCGTAGTATGCCAAATAACTTTCGTGGGCCAGCTGCTTTTGATGGTTGACTGTGTAGGAATAACATTTTATGTCAGGGATTTGCAATGCTTGTGGAACTCTTGAGATTGGTTCGTGGTTTAGTTGTACCAAAAGAAAGAATAAGTGAATTGTAATGGAAGCATATATGTTGAGGAGTGATATATAAAGAGGGGGAGGTAAGGGATTTCCTACCTGTAAGTACCATACTTGGTAAGATTGAACCCAGGACCTCTAGTCTTAATCATGGCAGCCAGGTTTCATCGAGATAGTCTCTTAATGACTTGCTGGTCTTACATGTGGTTCCATTTGCTTATGGTGGAGAGGCCTGAAACCCTTTGAAGAAGCTGAAAGTGCATCCTTGATCACTTGTTAGTTTGGTGGAGATGAAATGTTTAAATGACAAACTGACAAATGATGTTGTATGGAATATGGATATATGATAAAGGATCCATCTTCTGTTTGATAATGGTGGAGAGACTAGGAGTCCATGGAGATTTCATTGAGGGAACAAATATGCATATTAGTTAAGCTGGAGATGCAGCCGTAAAAAGTCATTGAAATTTATGTTAAAGGTGAAATTATTACTTATCCTAAATAGTTTGGTTGCACTGGAGATGAAACATGGGAATCCCTTTTTATATTTTTTTACCTGAATTTGATAGAATGTCATGACCTAAACCAAGCATCTTTTGCTTCTGAATTGACTCTACTTTTGGCTGTATCAAAAAAAAAAATATGCACAAGAATTCAATAAGCTTTGAACATGGTGGTTTTGGTGGGGTAAAGAAGATGGAGCCATGACTGAGTGTAGCAAAACCGCAGAAGGTTCATTAAGGGAATTTGTAGTGAAAATTAGTGTGAAGTATGGGAGAGGCTTGAACTTAAGATCACCTTTTCTTTCATACAATGAAAGCCATGAATAAATAAAGACTGTATTTCTTTTCGTCAGAGTTTTGATCAAGGGGTTCAGATTTTCTCTCACATTATTTTTTCCATCTCGTAAGTTGAAGTATTTTAATTCCTTTTAATGTTTTCCTACTAATTCTAACGATTACCAGAAAAGTGGAGTGAATAAGAATTGTAGAATTTATTTCTTCTATTTTCGTACAATTTTTTCTACTGAACTCTGTTGACACATTGTAATTGGAATCATTAGAAGCTTCCGACATGGGTTCTTCAACCCTCTCTTAGCTGGTCTAAGAATTTTGGAGGATCAATATCCTATAGCTAATCCATTAAATGTGTTGAAACAATTTTTCATGGATGTTAGGCAACACAATGAATTTCTGTATCAAAGCCTGTACTCAATTTGTTGGACAAATGAGAGGAGCCGATGGATCAATTCAGATATTATGTGGAGTACACTCATTAATTCTGACCATGCTGTGTTGAATTATATTTGACCTTTATTGTGGGTGTTAAGATCCATTTTGCTCAAAACTATCATGAATATTTTCCTTTTAAAATGTAGAATGTAAGAAGTAATTTTTTGTTTTATCACAAGCGTTCAGAGAAATTAAACGGCCTTTGAAGTGGGTATCCTTTTTGGTTTTGAAATGTAATGACTAACGAGTGGGTTTTCCATGGTGTTAAATTCATCATGAGCTATTTATATTGGATTCTGTTCTGAATTTCTTCTTAGAATCCTGTTAACCATTTGAAATCATCCATTTGTTTCTTTTGCATTCGATGAAGCCTATGACAGATAGTCATTACAGAACTGCCTCTAGGGGTTCTTGTGGGCTCTGTGGCCCTCAATCTTAGATCAATTTGTATCTTATTGATAGTTAGTGTATTAACTCTGCCTTTAAAGACTATTGATGTTAGGATTTAGGAAGATGTTTCGACTTTTTAATCATGACAGCTCCAATCTTAGCATGTCAAAGAGTTGTACAATTCTTTCCTCTGGAAATGTTATGCAGATTGCAGCAGTGTTACTTGTTTTAGGCAATCAGTTAGTAAGAACTAAAAAAAAAAGGATATTTTATTTAAATATTTAATCTTTCTTTCTATCTGTCACATAGAAATATAGAATATAAGATGATATGTAGCACTCAAGATATACATAACATACATAATGTATGTGTAACAATCACTTGATAAAGCTGAAAGCTAAGCTTCCCTAAGCCTGTACTTGAAGAGAAATACTAGTGAACTTGTTTTTCTTATGATTTCAGAGCCCAATTAGGTTTATGTTTGGTTTTGCAAGTGCTCTACTCCTGGAGACTTTAGGTCTACTGAACCCTGCAACATAACAAATGAAAGGAAAAAGGTTAGATGTATCAAAATAATCAAATGATAATTACTCATAGCCTTGAAAGAACCCTTTTAATTTTTAGTGCATGCTATATTCTGTGACTGTAAGCTAGTAAAAATTTTGTTATTATTGTTAAGTGTTGGACATGATAATTCTATTAAATGGAGTGATTATATTAGCTTTGTATGTCTGACTTGGAAGAAATAAACAGAAATAAGAAAGAGCTGTACTGAGAGCAGTCTGTTTGGGGGCCAACAGCTCCTGGAATGCTGACTCCACATTTGTTGGGAAGTGCAGCTACGTTCTTTTGGTTGATAGCAGGAAAGGCTGTTGCAGCTGATTTCATGCATCTGCAAGCAGTTCTTTTGTCTTGGGTTGTGGTAGCCTCAGTTTTGAGGGCTCTAACACCAGTACAGCAAGCTGCTGTTGGTCCCTGACCATTTTCTAGGAATCCAATGCATGGTGCAAGATGCTGAGAGACCATACCACAGTTAATGGCGGCTTCTGCATATGGTGCAATTACCATTATGCACACAATAACTGCACATAACACCCTTAGGATAGCTGAGCTTGCCATATTCAGACTGCTGCTAAAATGATCTCAAAATTTAAGATAGAGGTTTAGGGAGAGAGAAAAAGAGGTAAAGAGTTTAATGGGAAGTAGATGGTATGTACCCCTCCATTTGGTCTATTTATAGAAGAGTAAAAAGAGCAGGGAAGTTCTCAATGGGGAATAATTAGGTCAGGGGATTGCAGTTGAGTCTTGATTGCAGTTGGTATTGAATGACAGCTCTAAGTGCTACTATTTTCTGGTTGATTTTCTTTGCTGAACTGTTTGTTCACTTCAGAAAAACCCTAATGTGCAATCTGGTTGAGAAATTGAGATCTTATGTCTGATGCTTAAATGTGGAACTTTAATGTATTCTTGCTTGACAGGACCCCTAGGGGATCAATCACTTCATGTTTATTGAGCGCCTCAAATTCCTTCCTTTGAAGTTTCATTATATGAGCACAAATTAATCTGTGATTCGAGTATCACTTGCTTAAAAAGTCGCTTGGGTGAGTAAATTATAATTGTCGTGAAAAGAAAAGAAAAGTGTTAAATTATTATCCTTATTGCATTGCACATTGCTACAAGAGGAACGTAACACATTTGACATAGACACATTCTCTTTGATGTTCATATGTCCCATGTTTGTTATCTTTTCTGTCTACTTTGTTGTGCTCTTACTGATGAGCATGTAAAGAATGTACTGATTGACCAATGACGAGTACAGTGATTTATACGTTGGCTGAATTTTTGATTTACTGTTTTCTGCTTTTCTTAGAATTTTACCTATCTAAGTTTCTGCCAACCACCTCTATCCTCACATAATAACGTCTCACCTAGAAGTACGGCTTCTATTGAATTTCCACATCACCTACATCAGGCTTTCTTCTGTAACTGAATGAAATATTACACTCAAATATAGTAAATTATAATTAGTTTTGATGTATTGTTATTATTAGAATAATATGCTATTTATATTAGGACGTAGGGCCAAAGGAGTATAATTTATGAGCCAATTGGCCAAACATGCACATGGGTGTCAACCGTTAGGTGGGCAATAATGTATTGATCTTGATGGTTAGCAACCATTATTTTGTGATTAATTCTAGGCTACATTCAGAAATTGCTTATACTGCCTCTCCCATACTATGGTTGGAACTTGGAAAATTAGGGTCATCCAAACATTTGCAGTGCCAAGTTCCACTTAAGATCTTGTAGTATGAACCCATTTTGCATAAGCCCTTAAGCTCGCCCACCCGATTCTTGAGCCCCCTTTACAAGCTTGTGCTAGAATTTTCTTTAGTGTTACCTTTTTTTAAATCCATGTTTGGGGTAATTTTTTTTTTCGTGGGTGTGAATTTTGTGAAGAGATTCATGTCAACAAAGACAAGGGCGTTTAGCACACATGAAGTAATGGACCATTGGAGTAGGCTCATTGATTATGAATGATTTATAGCCCGGAGAATTAATGCTCGAAAATCTTATTTATAGTTATAGCGGTCATTTTCTTACCTGTTTCAATGAATGCAAGAGCATAAAATTGAATTGATATATGTATCAAAATATAATGTTGCATTTTTGGCCTGCTTGGACTATAAGGAATATCGTACCTTAAGCTTCATAGAGTCGCTTATTGAAATTTTTACTTAAAATTTTCTGTGATTTAATCCTATGAATGTAAATACCTCTCATTTAAAACTGATGGCATACCAAGAATTATCTATTTTGTAGGCGTGTTGATTGGATACATGATGGAATTTTTAGCCTCCTACAAATCTCTATTCGGCCAAAGTGGGTTTTCTGTGTGTGGTTAGAGTGAGTTATACTTGGATTTATGTACTTATTTATCTTGCTTACTTGTTGATATATCACATATTCACATGTAGTCATGTAGAAATGGGGTGCACAATATTCTCATTTATAATAAGTAAATAGTTTATAGGCAACAATGATAATTATAAGTATAATGTAAAGTACTGCATTAAACATAAAAATAAATGGACATGTAGATCAAGATAGAACTCCATCTCTTTTTTTTTCAAGCTTCTTAGCCAATAGGTAGGTAATGTTGATAACTTTAGCTGGAATATCATCCTTCTAGTTCACCCTGCAGCATGAGAAATATGGAACATGAAAGTTAGTATATTGGATGGGAAAATCCACACTAAATCTCTCAATTAAATTTTTTTGTACATGCAGTCATGCTCCTGAGTAAAGCCTGTGGTAGGCACGACATGACACATAAACACATTTTGTAAACCAGCATGACAAGACACTCTAAAATAAGTTGTTTAGATTTGACACGCAAACATAGAACGTTGGCACATGAGCTTAGACGATGCACGGGCCACTCTTTTGAGATTCTGGAACCACACAACACGTAGCGACTAGGTTCAATCATGGGTCTAGCCTGGCCCAAGACATGTGGACTTGGAATGAGACACGACCCACAACTATCTTAACTCTTGATTAATTTAGCAAAAAAAAATTAAAGATGGGTATAAAATTGGAGACCATTTTGTCTTTTGAGAGTGTCATATCACTTGGGAACATGATGTTCTAAGTGTATCTAGGTTCTCTTTCATAGTTGCTTTCTATTAGCTTAGCCGAAAGTACTGAAAATTTTCATAATAAGACTGTATATGTAGTGGATTTTATTCGATTTGTTGACATATAATTTTACTTAGAGGTGTTGTCATTTATTATAAAGTAGATGAGGGATGGAAGAGAGAAATAAAAGTTAGAACCATACTTAGAGCAGTCAGTCTGGGGGCTAATGGAATAAGGAATGCTGACGCCACATTTGCCTGGAAGAGCTGCTGCCTTCGTTGCGTCAAGACCAGACACGGAGGCAGCTGCTGTTTTCAGACAGTTGCAAGCAGTTTTCTTGTCTTCTGGGGTGGAAGCCAAGCTCTTTAGGGTCTTAACCCCACTGCAGCAAGCATCTGATGGGCTGTCGCCGCCCTTTAAGTAGGAAATGCATTGTGCAATATCTTTGGTCACTGTGCTACAGGTCAAAGCTGCCTCTGCATGAGGTGCTATTACCACCATGCACATTAAGACTGCACAAGCTAACTTGAGAAACGCGGAGCTAGCCATTGGTTGGTTTTCGGGAAGAGAGATAGAGAAGGGATTATCTGCTGAATGTGGAGATATCTAAGGATCTTTCTGGCAATTGATGGTTTGATATGTACCTTGTTGGTTGTTTTTATAGGAGAGTTTAACAGGTCTTGTTGATTGGTAACTTCAGCAAGGAAATAAGGAATAGTTGGTAGTTTCTTGTTGCATGTGTTGGATTTAGATCATCTTTGATTGGAATTAAATAGGAGAGTATAACCTTAACCCTTAAACAAACTTTTATAAAAGTTATTGGATATATTATAGGATCAATTATTTTGTTAAGAATTAGTTGTCACATTGTTTCAACTATTTTAAAGCATATACTATACAAAGTAATACAAGTATATTGTATGCTTTTAGTCGAGCCATGTATATACAGGTTCCATAAATTATTTGAACTAAGTAATGACGACATGTTTAGAAATCTAATCATAAACCATTATTTAATCCGTGGATAGAGGGAGTGTAGATACTTGTATAAATTTCAGGCCCAATACAGTTGGTGGCATACCCGTGTTACTTGTTCAGTTGATAAAAGTGCTGTCTTTGTTTCATTGATGGGCTGATTCATTATTCTTCTACGAAGTTGGCCTAAATTTGTAAGACTTTGGTGATTTTTTTTTTTGGAATATTAGTGAAGCTTTTAAGCGTACGAAAGCAAGTCTTGAGTTACAAGTTAATTTAATTGTGTAAGTCTGACATAAAATATTTTATAATTTGGACTGTATATAGATTTCTTGAAGATATGGAGCTGTTTTTGTGTCGTTAATGACATAAAATTTGGGTTTGATATGGTTACAAGTTTTTTTGTTGTCCATTTTTGTGCTATTATTTGTGAAGTCAATGAGCATAATGTTACACATAGTTTTTTCTTTTTAATTATATGGAATAATTTTTATCTTTTTAATTATTTTAGTGAAGAGTTGACAATCCTGGTTTTACATATAAAAAACTTCTAACAATTGGTTTTAAATGCATTTCATTGGAATTAAATTCATACATTCAATGTTCTATGAATTGCACAAATTCGTTTAGTTGTTATCAAGGTATTTGCTAATCCATAAGAATTTTTGAGTTACCAAGGGACCTTCACAGTTTAATTCCTACATTTTATAGGCATTGAAATTTCCTTTGAATTTGCAAATTGCAATTATTACATATTTCATTCCATTTCTAACTTTCCATGAATTTTCATTTCCTCTTTTTTGTTCAACAAAACAACTAATTTATATATTTTTAAGGAAAAATTGCTCCCATTAATCTGAACTTTGCCTCGTCCGCCGAAAATAATCCCAACTTTCGTTTATTATCTATTGCACCCAACTTTGGGGGGTATTAATTTCTATTGCACCCAAATGACCTGCAACCGGTAAATCAGGTAAACATTTCTGATTTTTTTTTGCACACGTGTCAACATGTAATTGGTTGAAAAAAAATAGGAAAAAAAAAAATTAAAAACATAATTAAAAAAAAAAACCCCAACAGCCACCCTTAGCTTCTCCACCAGCCACCAACACCACCATCACCACCGGCCAACCAATCAAACCCCAGCCACCAAAACCCCAACCACCAAAAAGAGTTTCGAGTGGTGGTGGTTTTTCGCAGCCACCAAAACCCGTTAGAGTAGCCACCAAAATCCCAAAATTCGCAGCAACCAATACCCTAAATCGGAAATTCAAGGGAGGAGTTTTTGGGGGTTTTCGGGTTTAGGAGGGAGGCCGTGGTCGGTGCTGGTGAAGGGGAGTTCGATGATGTTGAGGTTGTCGGATTGACGGCGGAGATTTGCGGCGTTTAAAGGGGTGGTAAGGAGAGAGAGAGTGAAGGGTGTTTGGGAGAGAAGGCGGTGAGCGAGGTGGAGGAATGGTCGGAGGTGGGAAACCGCCTCAGGGGGAGGGGAAGGGGAAAGCGGCGAGTGGGAAACCGTCGCCGGGGAAGGGGGAGAAGAAACCGACGTAGGGGGAGGGGAATTAGCGCCGCCGTTTGGGGTTAGACTAGTGATTGTTGGGGTTGGCCGGTGGTTTTTGGGGTTGCTGGTGGCTGGGGTTTGATTGTTTTTTTATTTTTATTTTTTTATTTTTTTTTAAAAAATAAATAAATAAATTTAAGCCAATCATACGCTAACACGTGGCTAGGTAACCTGCTACATCAGGTTAGATGACCTGTTGGGTGCAACGAAAATTAATACCCCCTAAAGTTGGGTGCAATAGATAATAAACGAAAGTTGGGATTATTTTCGGCGGACGAGGCAAAGTTCAGATTAATGGGAGTAATTTCCTTTTCACATTTCTAATTTTGAATGTATTAATTACACTGATTTACGCGTGATTTTATCTCAAATTTTCAACTTTATTCTATTGTAGGAAATCTTTTCCTTAAGGGTATAATATATCATTGTCCAAAAACAAAATGATAAACATCCAAAAAAAAATATCCTAGTTTAACCAATGAAATTTGAATAAACGGTGTTTTTTCTAAGGTCGGAGTTACTTATTTAGGGGTTAATCAGTTGGTCATGAGTTACTTATAAAGGTTACTCATTCACGGGAACTTCACTCAGTGAGAGGTTACTTATAGGGGTTACTCAATTGGGAGTTACTTATAGGGGGCACACGGTGTGGTGAGCCATGTATAAAAATTTGTGCTGAATAAAATGACACTAGAGGAAAAAAATTTAAGTTGGATAAGATTTTGGATCAGATGAGGTTTCAATCTAGAGACAAAAAGGTAATGTTGAACTCCCTTCGTTACGTTTGGTGATTTTATGCATTCATTAAGGAAAATAAGATAGTGGAAAACAATGACTTAGGCCCAGTTTTGTTCACCTTATTTCCACTTATTTCTGGAAAAATAAGTTCGCATAAGTTCATATAAGGGTTAATAAGTATAGAGTAAGAGTTAATTAGCGCTACCTAAGTTCAATTTGTCAAAAAGTTTAGATAAATTCAAACAAGTTAAGACAAGTTCAGATAAGTATAAATCAGGTGAATAGAACGCACCCTTAATGTCATATACGGAAAAAATCTTTACATTAAATAGAAATAGTTGCTTTGGGTGTAGTTATAGATTTTGGTAAAATGGAATAGTTGCGTGCATAGAAAATGGGTATGTATGAGAGAATTGAAAATGTATGAAACAATTATATTAATCTAGGTAGAAATTGAAACGTAACCAACAAATTGGAATGCCCAAAATGGTGAATATAACTATCTTACAAGGTCGGGGAACGGAGGGATCGGAGTAGCTTATTGTCAAAATTGGATACTTGTAAAACATTGGAATATTAAGCCTAATTACCATTTAAAACATTCCCACACAAATCCAACCTCTAACATTTTGACTTATTTCAGTTTCAAAAATTCAAATTGATGTTTCATTCAAACTTCAATCAAATTTGTGTTTGGACTATCCTAAGCTTAGAAAGGTTTGCTTACCATCAGCTGTCAATTGTTACATACAATAGTTAAAACGAAAATTTCTATTTAATTTATTATAGTAGGCTTAGTAGCTGATGAGCTGAGATATGTCTCTTTAAGTTTTCTGTGTGAAGTATTTATTGGACCATTCCATTTTCTTTACATGCAAGAGCATCTAACATTATGGCGGTCCCAGTTGGTTCATGTGATTCAGTCTTTTAAGACTTCAATGCATTATAAATGATGATACACCTTCTGCATCAATGTCAAGTTCCAAGTTCTTATTATTATTGTTTTCTTTTATTATATGGAAAAAAAACTTAGTCTATCCAATGTGTAGATGTCCGCTTCTTATAGCCTTAAGTTATCTGTGGACTAAGGTTTGTACGTTTTGAGTTATGTTCGTTTTTGCTATGGTAATGGAAAAATTATGGTCAAGCAAACCAGGCCAGTGAATATAGAATTTCAGTTACGATATATATCTACTTCATACTCAATCTGGACAAGGGTACATTTCCATTCTAGATAGATTGTAGTGTAATACTAGTATGCTTAGCTTGGAGTCTAACGTCAAAGAGGCCACTGAAACCCAATTTTACCGCCTTAGTCTCTTATTTCTGGCCACAAATGTTATTTTTATTTACATCCCTGCTGTTGTGTAGTCTATCAATTCATCCATATATGAATGAACTTTAAAATTTTGGAGAACTGTATATGTTGTTCTTTGTATCAAAGTGAAGAATTTTGAGTAATGTATCTGTTTTTTAGGATGGAAATCAAAGCAATGAACCATATTGAACCAAGATCCCTATCACATTCTCTTGCAGTTTACGCTGACAGAAAGGACACTAGTCTTTTATATAGTAAGAGGTAGCATACAATCTCTTTGGTGATAGTAGTATTATTGTAGTAAGTCTAGTAACATATGAGCAGTAATTAGGTGCAAAGATGCATGAGTCTCAAAAAAAAAAAAAAAAGTTGCAAATATGCATGACATTTTAGTAAAGAAAGCTTGTTGAATGGAGTCTCTTGAACTCTTGGAGACCCTATTTTATTGTTCATGCTTCCTGCTACGAGCTCGATATGTCTTTTTACTGAAAAATCACCCTTCTACTTGACCCTGCATCAGACAAGCAGAGTATAGAATGTACAAAGTTAGATGTATATACAGTTCATTCCCTAATTCTAGCAAAAAGTTGTTATTCTGTTGAAGTACAAATATCTATAACTTAGAAATCAGACCTGGAGCAGTCTGTCTTGGGGCTAATGGCAAAGGGAATTCTGACATTACATCTTCCAGGGAGTCCGGCTGCCTTGCCGAAGTCTAAGGTCTTCATTGCAGTAGCAGCTGTTTTTAGGCAGCCACAGACAGTCTTCCTGTCTGTTGGGGTTGAAGCTTTGCTGTTGAGGGTCTTGATGCCGGCGCAACAAGCAGTGGGTGGTGATATTACCTTGCCTGTTAGGTAAGGGATGCATTTGCCGATGTTTGTGGACACCATGCCACAGTTCATGGCTGCCTCAGCATGCGGCGCCGCCACCATCATGCACATGAAAATTGCGCTAGCTAATTTCAGAAGAGTTGTGCTAGCCATTGGTTTATTGCTTTTAGAGGGAGAGAGGATTTGCTAAAGAATGTAGAGAGAGGAGGGGGGGGGGGGGGGGAGGATTTTTTTGGCTAAGTGATGGTTTAGGTCTTTAGGAGCTTTCTAGGTGGCTCTATTTTATAGTGTTGTTTTGAAGATGGGAGTTTTTGGAAAGTGAACTATGGCTTGTGTTTTAATTGATTTATTTTTAATTGTTTAATATAAGTGTGTTTTGAGTGCAAAACAAAGGCCTTATCGAGTTTAAATCTCGTACAAGTCAACCTTAAATTACCAAGCCTAGATGGGTTGTTGTGGAACAATACTATTTAATTCTTTGATACTTTTTTATGTATAGAATAAAATCCTTAAACCAGTGTTGTATAAGTGTTTATATTGGTTCATTTCTTACATAAACACAATAGCAGATGTATAGGGCATGATCCAATCCTATAGACAAATGCCCTTATGAAAGTTTTCACAGTGTATTATATTAATTAAGCCAATTTTTACTTATCTGAATTATTATACGTTCTTACAACTTATTTTAGTCGCATAATTGAATTATGGTAATCCTCATTTACTCTTATCATAATTTAATTAGGAAAATTTGTTAGAAACAACCTTTTAAAGTGTCCACTTTATTTAAAACAACCTTTTAATTTTTTTTTTTTGCAATTTCAGACCACATTATAAATTTTTTTTATCAAAGACAACCAAATACTACTTTCTGGAGTTGACTCAATTTTTCCCGATGTTGACCACTAGTGTGCAACGCATATGAAACTCGTATATTGCTTAATACACCAATTTTCCCTCCAATTCACTCGTACTAAAAGAGGGATGAAACTATGAAAGAGAAGCAGGGGTTTTAATAGGAGTTAATTGGAGGGAAAAGGGGTGTATTAAGCAATATAGGAGGTCACGTGACTCGCACACACTAGTAGAAGAAAGGCATTTGGCAGCAGTTCAAACCCGGTCTAAGGCACCGGTTTGAACCGCTGCCTATGTGAAGGGTGCCAAAAAGGGGGCCAAAAAGGCACGGTTCAAACCGGTGCCAAAAATTGAAATTGGCACCGGTTAACCGGTGCCAAAAAGGCCCACAAAAAAATATTTCAAAGTTTTTGGCACCGGTTAACCGGTGCCAAAAACCCCCCAATAACCAATTTTTTTTTTTAAATTAAATAAACTAGAATTAAATGAGAATACCAAATATGAATCGAACATCACAATCAATATAATTCAATCTATTCAATATATATATATGATCAAAAAAATTATAGCATAGATCAATAAAAAAATTACAGTATATAAATCAAAATAAAAAAATTACAACATATAAATAAATAAATAAAATTACAATATAAATCACAAAAAAAAAATTACAACTTCACAATATACTTGTATCTTGATTCTTCAATTTAAGATCTAAATCCATATACCTGCACCAATTAAAACAACCAAAATGAATCGATTAACATGATTTAGCTGCGAAAAAAATAAAAAATAAAAACCCCAGAAAATCGGGAAAAAAAAAGAAAAGAAAATCAGTTTAAAACCTAGAAAAAAACCCAGAACATCAAAATCAAAAAATAAAAATATATAAAAAAAACTCAGAAAAAAAAACGATTAAAATAAAAATTAAAATCGAAAATCAGAAGAAAAAAAACCCAGAGAATTAAAAAATTTCGAGAGAAAAAACCCAGAAATTAAAAAAAAATCGAATTAAAATAAGTTTAAAAATCGATTAACCAAACCAGAAAATTGAAAATCACTTAAAAAAACAAATTAAAATCGATAAAAATAACAAATAAATCGATTAAAATAAAACAAAATTCGAAAATCAATTAAAAACCCAGAAAATAAAAAATAAATCGAATTAAAATCAAGAAATAATACCCTAACCTTGCTCATGCATGTGTTCGTGGTGGATTAAACCAAAAAAAATTCGAAGAAACCCATAAAAAATTTCGAAGACACTCATAAAATCAATTAAACCCAAAATTAACTTCAAACAAACCCAAATCAACTTGCATTAACCCAAAATAATCAATTTCGAACAAATCCATAAAAAAAAACACCCAAAAACGCATGCATTAACCCAAAATCGATTATTGTAGCCGAAAATTAACCCAGAAATCAAAAACAAAATCAAAAACGAAAAAAAAACAATCGAAATCGAAAAAAAAAAACCCAGAAATAGAAAAAAAAAATCAAGATCGAAATCAAAAAAATTAACCCAGAATAACCCACAAATCGAAAACACCCAGAAATCAAAATAGTTGAAATCGAAAGAAAAATTGAAATTGAAAGAAAAATCAAAAGCCCAGAAAAAAATTGAAATCTTAAACAAAAAAAAAAAAAACCGAGAAATCGATAAAAAAAATGCAATCAAATTTGATGGAAAGAAGGGTTTGAAAGAGAACGAGAAAGGGATTGAAAGAGAACGAGAAAGAGATTGAAAGAGGAGATGAGAATGAGAGGAGATGAAAGAGAAAGGGATGAGAGAGAAAGGATGAGTGGCGAACATAGAGAGTGTTTTGTGAGTGAATTAGCTTTAGGGTTTGACTTACCTTATATATAAATGGAATAAAAAAAAAGCCGGTTTTTTTTTAAAAAAGGAATGGCACCGGTTCAAACCGGTGCCTTTTTGTTTTTAGGCACCGGTTCAGGCTGAACCGGTGCCTTTTCTCTTTTGGTAAAAACCCGCCCAATTCTAGACCGGTTTTGGGCACCGGTTTAGGCTGAACCGGTGCCATATGGGGGGTGCCTAATGCTTTTTTTCTACTAATGACACTTGTGGTCAACATCGGGAAAATAGAGTCAACGCCGGAAAGTAACATTTGGTTGTCTTTGATAAAAAAAATTTATAATGTGGTCTGAAATTGCAAAAAAAAAAAAAAAAAAAAAAAAAAAATTAAAAGGTTGTTTTAAATAAAGTGGACACTTTAATAGAGGTTACTCCTATAGCTACAGAACATTGGTTAAAGTTGTAATATTTGTTTTGTACTTATTGATTGATTGAATTGATACATCTACTTCCCTCTGTTTTACTAAATCCTTTATTACCTCCTAGACGTGTTTTAATGGAATTAAATGAATCAATTATTAACCATTTTTCATGTTCTCAATTCTCACAATCACTGCTATATTTCCCCTTGTAAATTTCTGGACGAATAATTAAGTTTTTGTTGCTGTATAGTTCTTGCAAATACGATTACTTTAAATTTCAAGGTTTATTTTCTAGCATGTGTCTAGTCCAGATTTAACATGTTCTCTTGATGTCTATTATTGATGAAGTCTGTAGCATGTATATAGCTGTTTAAAAGTTTTATACAACGGTTGCACCACATCAATGGTTCGAGAAATTTGATTTAATTAAAAGGTTGTTTGCTTCTTGCTTGCATGGTTGCGCCACTAAAGATGTCAAAGTATCTTATATATTAGATGTGTCAATGGTTGCTGTAGTGATTCTAAAGTTTTATCATAAGTCATAGTCAATACTTATCGTTTATTGGTTTCTTAGGCGGATGCATTGGATATTTGAAGACAGGTGAAATTATGGAGGATAGAAGAAGAAACCGGCACATAACAGTTACTCGTATCAGGTAAGAGCACTAAATTATATTTAGAAAACCGAACTCAGAAATACAAAGATACAATACATGACATAGCAAGTACAAGCATCTCGTAGGCACGTCTCATCAGGACTCAAGTAAACTCATGAAGGAGTCTCATCAGGACTCAGTCTTATTATACACACTACTACGTATACGATTGGTAGCTAGATACTTCTCTTTAGCCTGAAAATGGCCGCTTAGTTCACCCTGTAAAATCAAACGTTGAAGAAATCAGGACTAAGTCAGATTTGCTAGAAAAGAAAAAAACTGTTCTTTGGACTTTATATATAGACATTAATTGGTTCTGTTATTCAAAGAAAAACCCTTTTCCTGTTTTCCCAAAACCCCTGTGACAGCTACTTAACATGTATGTATCCGTACCATATATAAACACCAAAGTTGTATACTTAAACACGTACCCATGATAGTTACTCAACAAAGTCAGCATGTAGTCCTACTAGATATAAACTCCAAAGTCATACTCTTAGACAGTTAGACACGTACCCATTGTCATTTGTCAATATGATTAATTACCCAAGTTTTGGTACGTGGTAACCTTTAAGTACTCAATATAATCGTTACAACACCTTTTTTTGTTTTTCCCTTACCACTTGACCTTTAATTAAAAACTTGAAACATTTCTATGAAAGACAGAAAAAGAGGAGAAGGAACTTACTTAGAGCAGTCAGTTGAGGTGCTAATAGGGTATGGAATGCTAACACCACATTTACCAGGGAGGGAGGCGGCATTGCCGGCATTAAGACCCTTGATAGCAGTAGAAGCAGACTTTAGGCAACCGCAAGCGGCTTTCCTGTCAGCAGGGGTGGAAGCCATGCTGTTAAGGGTCTTAACCCCGCCGCAGCAAGAGGGCGATGGGCTGCCACCTCCTGTAAGGTAGGTCATGCATGGAGCAATGCTGGTAGTAACCTGACCACATGTTAAAGCCTCAGCATGTGGTGCAGCCACTAACATGCACATCAAAACTGCACAAGCTAACTTGAAAACTGCTGAGCTTGCCATTTTTTTTTGGTTAAGTTTGTTGCTTTAAGAGCGACCAAAGATTGTTGCTTGGCTTAGAGAATAAGAATGAGAATGCTAGTGTATGTGTTTTTGATGGTTTAGGAGTTGCATTGTTGGTGCTATTTATAGGGAAATTAGTACGTAGAATGAAGTGTTGGAAAATAAAAACATGTCCCTATTTTTTGGGGTTGGAAGTAGTTAGTTGATAGTTGATGATCATTGAATGCTGGAATGAATTATTGTGCTGATTTGTAGTACAATGAGTCATCTTCTTAGGTCTTAAGTTTTTAGTATTTTTGAAAGCCTCTTAATAGTGACAACCTCAGGCACAGGTACCTGTATTTTCTAACCGTTGGTGAGATTTGCTTACATGTTCTCATCATCTATTGGCTATTTGGCTGTCTAGGTCCGAGAGCCAGAAAAAACTTTGTCTATCCATTGGGTAAATTATCCGCCATTAATAGAGATTAGTGGTAGTTGAATTCAATTAGGGGTGAATATTTACCCGATAGGTAAATAATGTCTGTTTATTTTGGTTGAGTTTATTTTGGTTGAATTGAAACTAAAGGCTTGTATTACCTCAATTCTCGTAGTTTTCTTTTTGGCTTTTGTTCTTTAACTTAACCTTTTACGGGATTTTGTTTAACACAAATTAATATCCGTTAAAGTTACAAGACTTTGGGGGAAGGAAGACAAACAAATATGTTCCGATGAGACATTATATTCCATCGAGCGAGACAATGAGTTTTGACTCAAAATTTGGCAATGGGACAAAAAAAAGGGATAGAGGAAATACATAGTAAGTAGTTATAAATAATTGCGATTTTACTCACAACATACACTTATTATTTTCCGTTAGGTTTTTTTCCTCTTATGGATTCCACCCAATGAAACCTTAAACTTGGAGAGTGACCATACTCAATCTAATGGGACAATCGGACAACTGTGGGGGGACAAATGAAATAGATGAGAAGAGATAACAATTGTAATGAAACAATTCTGTTAGGGAATGCTAACAGAATATTGAAAATGTGGTTGGGAACCCTAGCTAATAGGGTAGGGAATGCTAACACCACATTTACTAGGAAGCTTTTAAAATAACAATTCTGTTAGAGAATGTTAATACCACATTTACCAGAGAGGGAAAAATTGGCCACAATGACACCACCTATCGATGAGGTACGAAAATATGCTTATTTTGGTAATTGGGCTTGTAAAATTGCTATCATTGAAGATGGATAGTCTTCATTTTTTTTTTTAACAAACTCAGCCCATTATTACTATAAATACTTGTGAAAAATTTTTGGGGCCCAATTTGTCTTTGCTACTAATCTACCAGTTTATGATGAACTTTATATACATACTATATTTAAGAATCATGTATTTATTATTCAAGTGTTTGAGATATTGTATGATTAAGGTTATGCATAAATTTTGTTGTTTAGAAGAAGTGTTTTAAATTGTTAACATTCTATTTTCAGAAACAACCCTAACAGAATATTGAAATTACATATTTTAAAAGCTTTCTAATCTTGATTGAATTTTAATTGCCTTGTGTCCTCTATTGCCACTTGTAAACATGGCCAGGCTCTCTCTATTATCCAACCATCTAGCTACATGTGGTGTTAAATTTTTCAAAAGGTAGTCCAAGTTCACGAGCCACCAAATCTTGATATGCCATGCTTTGTGTGCCCAAGTGTCGCGATGTTTTTCAATTACATGAGCCATAGTCTAGACCACCCACAAACGCAAGAGGTTATCGTGATGGTGTGTAGACATTATCTAGACCAACCACAAACACACACTAATTTGCACAAGGAAATAACGATAGCAAACACAAGCACACAATTTTTCTATGAGCGTGAGTGATAGCTCAAGTGTTTAGAAATTTCCTCCCAATACCAGAACATCCTGGGATCGAAAAACACAATTTTTTTTTATTACTTTTGAGGGTGTACTAGGAAAAAGCCCATAGTGAGTGACGGTCAAATCCCAAGCCATTAACATACAATAAATTGCTAGGTAATGCATACAATCAAACATTGGGATTCTTCTTTAGCCTTGTCGCCAAAGTCTCTCCTTGGGAGCATTCGTAACCACTTCTTAGGCATCCCTTCAAGAACATCCCGAACAACTACCATATTTGAGGACATGAAACTAAGCCAATTATAACTATATTTTCAACGTGCTTTGATGCGCATGGTCGTGTTTTGTGCTTTATCTTGTTTTTCCAAAAAATATGTGGTTCAATTCAATTCATAGTCTTTCCTGACACGCTTAATATCATGTCAAGCTTATTTTATGTCATGCCAATGATGCCATGGACGGACTTGACCTAGCTAGGAACTTGTAAATTGTGCTATTTTTAAGCGCGTGTCATTTTAAAAGATTATACTGGCCTCTTTTAACTCACTCATATCACACACATGTAAATAAGTTTGCTTATTACGGAGCACAAAAGATGGCTGCTAGTTACACTCAAATTTTCACATACAGTGTATGTTATACTTCTTAGTTGTTACTAGTTAGATTTCTGAATGACAGTCCCTTATTAATGGCACATCTATTATTTATACTTATAATAGCCTTGCCCCATAAGAAAATTAATTTCTTATTTACACAATAAAGTACTTTTGTTTTGAGGAAACAAAAAAAGTACTTCTATTACTATTTACATATAATAGGATTTGATATACTCTTTTCGTTTTAAAATTAATTTTTTTTTTATTCATTTTAAAATAATGGTGATACATTTTGTTTTCCCTTCTAATTTGGGATATAATCCACATGATTTTATTATTTTTATTCTAAACTTTTGCTCCATTTTATGATTATTTTCTTACAATTTATATATAAATACTTGTATCTCACTATTTTCACTTCTCTTTTTATTTTGTTCATGGAATTTATTTTCTTACAATATATATAAATACCAATAATATTCTAAGCTTTATATAATTACTATGCTCTAATTATGAACTCTCCATGAACAAAATAAATTCCATCATTTCAACATACTTGGTATGTCCATGCACACAAATACAAAATAATTACTAGTACAAAAAATAAAGATTGACTATTTCTCAAAAAAAAAAAAAAAAAAAATAAAATAAAATAAAGATCGACTGATAGAGTACAAAGTATATACGGAGTACAACTCTATTTTAGTACGTACTTCCTGATAATATCTTTGATAAACATTATAAATACATGTATGATAACCCTATGATGCATCTTTGATAATATCTTATGATTGAAGGGCATTAAAACCTAATAATTCGGTCGTAAATCGGCCAAACTATTTAGAAAACAAGGCAGCAGACTAGCAGTGTGTGTCGGTGAGAAATGTAATAAGTGCGAGAATGCCTACTACACTGTTACTACTACACCCGTTACTAGCAACGTGGTATGATTTCTTTGAAAGCCATCTAACTTTGTACATGCACCTTCTTTATTGGGATGGTATTCTTTGGTGGGGCTATTTATTTAATTTCAGATCCAAAGTTTTTATGTTTGATTTTCTTGTTATGTTTTTTCAACATATATAGTTATTTTATTCCATACATAATCTAGAAAAGTCCACACCTTCACTCAACATATGCCAAGTGTGTTGTCTGTTTCAATCAAGAAAAAAAAAAAGCCAAGTGTGCTGTTGTAAGAGCTAGAGGGAAATTCATGTATGTTTCGATTGTGTAGGCCAGGTTTCGTTTGTTTTCACAGAAAACATTTTAGGTTAAATAATATTTATTAAGGAATTACATACTACCTCTGATAATTTCTTTCCTCCCTCTAATTTATTTATTTATTTCAGTTTCATTTACAATATCTATACCAAACACCCTCTTAGATTTAAAAAGTCCACAAAAAGGGTTTAAAAAAAAAGAAAAAAAAGAATTTCACAATCCAAAAGAACGCCTAACAATTGACTTAGGGCGTGTTTTGATTGACCGAACCGAGCTGAACTTATTGGAGCTGAAGTGAACTAACTGAACTTAACTGAATATTTTATGAGATAAAGAAATTAAAAACTGAACTGAAATGAACTCATTGGAGCTAAACTGAAAATAATCTGAAGAGAACATACCCTTAACTTAAATTGAGCTTGAAATTAACCCTAATTTACCCTTAACCATGAAGCTAAATAGAGTATAAAACATATTCTTAAGCCTTAGGCATCAATTATATAATATATTTCTAGGTATCAACTATCAATTTAAGTTTTTTGATTAAGTTGGTCATTTAACAAGGTATTAGATCCAACTTGATACAGAGGTTACGGGCTCAAATCTCATCCACCTCCACTTTCAAGCGGAATATTAAGCGTTGGGTATGAAGAGGGTTCATGTTGTATCTAGTCATCTACCCTTCTAAACCCAACACGCTCTCGTGGAAGGGGGCATAATAGAGTAATGAACCTTAATCATTAGCTTAACTTTTGATTGAGTAGAGCACTAGAATTATTTATGTTCATGGCCTCATTAATTGTTGAAAAAAAAAAAACTCATATTAGTTTTAATTTGGGTTTTGTCTTCTTTTTCCAAAGTATCTTGAGCGTGCTATATATGTACAAGGTACAACTTTGAGCAAATATGACTTTCACTTTTTAAAAAAATAATACTCCGTATATAATAATAAGAAAGAAAGGTACACAATAGTTAGAATAGTCATAGGAAATTTTGTAGTAGGTGGACTGATGAATACGATAGATTACAAAGGTGTAATCCTATTGGTTCTATCACTATTTATGCCTTCGAGGTGAAGTTGCATTACAAATTAAAAATGGTCCCATTCCTTTAGTTGATAGTTTTAATGAATTTGTCACTCTTGTTTGCTGTCATACTCTGTATTATAAAGCATAAGTATGAGAGTGAATTGTTAATCGTCGTATAAATGGTGTGTAATATGGGGTCTGCCATAAATGAAATATAATTAAACATAATGAAATAGACAAAAGCTCGCTTATAAATTCAAAAACGTAATTTTTATTTTTAAGAGAGTCATCAGGGTGGGCAGGTGACGAGAATATATGCCAAGACTTTAAGATCAGGAAAAAAGCTCTAACCACTTGAGGTATCACTCACTCTCTTAATTCAAAAACGTAAAAAAAG